TTCAGTTTTTTTCCCTCTCCCTACACACTCCTGTCCACTCACTTCTCTCCCTTCTTCTCTTCCCTGTTTGTCTCTCTGTTTTTTATTGTGTAGCTGAGGATGACCTTGAACTTCTGATCATATCTTCCTGCCTCTACTTCCAGAGTGCTAGGACTATAGCCACCAGCCACCAAGCCTGGTTTGTTTACACAGGTTTGGTAAAGGAATGGGCCTCAGGATCCTGAGCATCCTGTGCAAGCACTCTGCTCTCTGAGCTACATCCCAGCCTCGCAGAGCTTCCCTTACACCTTCAGTATCTTCACAGTCCTGGAAATTAGTAACAGTGATGTTGGGATTCATGATGTTTTCTCCTGTAGAGAGACTTTCCTAAACTACTGTCGCCCCTTGGCTTTGTGTGGACAGTTGTCTGAACTTACAAGCAGGCAGCCAGCTTTGCAGTTTCACCTTCTTGCTGGAGCTTCCCTTGTGCTGGAGTCTTCTGATAGACAGCACTTTCCAGTCCTTCCCCCTGGCTGTTCTGTTCCCCAGAGGGGACATGGATGATAAGCATCTGACACTAGTGCTTGGGAAACTCAGAGAGGGAGGAGTTGTGGGCATGGGAAAGGTGGCATTGATATTAAGTATTAATGCTGTCATTTAATCCTCACTTCACCTGGAGCCGCTGTCTCAGACTCTCCAGAGAGCTACCTTTCAGGCTATTGGGAATGGGGCGGGTGAGTCAAGTTGTCTGGAGGGAAAGTTTTTGCATCGGAGAGTTTCTCAAGTAGTCAGTCCCCTTTATTTTAGACTGGTTCTTTCACATCCAGTCCCAAGTGTACCTGGTGCAATCACTTACTGTGCCTTTTATCTCGGGGAGTTTTTCCATCACTGAAGCCTCTAGCCTTTACTTAGAGCTGTTAAATCATCCGTACTCATCTTTTTGTAAATTTGGTTGGAGTCATTACATATTTTAAAACTTTAATAATTGCTTCCATAGAATTTTTAGAGAGAATTAAATTGAATGCATGTTTTCATCCTCCCAGCTTGTGTTTGAATTTAAAATAAGCACTGGCTGTTTCTTGGCATTTGGCTTCTTGTTTAAAGTGAACACAGACATTTTACAGTAAATTTATGTATCACATGGGCTGAAAACCAGAAGACAGAAACTGTTTCAACATTGAAAAGTTTCTTTCCACTTCCCTGGTCTTCTAATTTCCCTTGCCTCTCCTGTCAACAACGATCACGACTTTTATGTGTCCTTAGGGAGGGTGTGCAGCTGAAGAGATGCTGTGTGGGTCTGTGTCTTCCCCTGCTGTGTGTATTCCCCTTCCCATTATATCTGCTGCCTCCTCGGTGTTTACATTCATCCAGTCTTGTTTGCAGCTGTGGGGAGTGGACGCTCCATCACACATTTGGCTCTTTCTCCCTTCAGTATTTTAAACAGTACTGGAGTGAGTGACCGTGTATGAAAGTTATTTCTCATCCCTGAGTGTATGTGAAGGATAACATCTCAGCCATCGTATTTGTGGATACAGGGGTTTCGAATTTATAATTTTAATTAATTTGGTGAAAATTTTATCAAAACTTGGATCTTGTGTTTGATAAAATGTCAGTATATATGAATATAATTTAAACTTTAAGTGGGACATTTTAAGAAATTTATTTTACATGTTGTTTATATGGTGTGTGTGTGTGTGTGTGTGTGTGTGTGTGTGTGTGTGTGTGTGTTATAAGAGAGGCAGAGAGAATGCATGCATGTCCCATGGAGTTATATGGAGGTCAGAGGACAACTATTGGGAATTTTTCTTTCCTTTTGTAGGTCCTTGGAGATGTAACTCAGGTTATCAGACTTTCCCTAGCAAGCAAGTTTATCTTATAAACCATCTCACCCACCCTTAGCTGGGAAATTTTTGGTATAACAAAAGTAGTAGGAATAATATTTCAGATACTGCTCATCATTTGATGATCCATCAGTTTTCATTCCAATCTATTTCTCTCCTACCAGACCTTCCTAAATAAGGTATTAGTTTTATTTATTTATTTTTGGTCTAAAGAATCTTGACCAGGGCTATACAACGAGAGGTCTTGTATTAAAAAGAAGAAAACAACAACAGACAAACAAAAATAAAGCAACTGTATTGTGGGGGAGTAGTAATTTCTCCTCTAACCTCCTAAACTCCCGTAGTTGGTGGCTGATTCTAACCATCAGGGTGGCATCAGAGACAGGCATCGCGCTGAATCATGCATTGCTGTGTAATGGAGTTTTGCGTATGTGCTGGAGTCTCCACAGGAAAGGAAGAAGTGACGAGAATGACAGTCATGTGAGGTTAGCATTTGTGAAAACTAGAGTGAGCTGAGGATCTACTTCAGCGTGTCCTTAGGTTTGCTCATCTTTCATTCTCATCTCCTGTGTTGAATGGTTTCTTGTCTCCTGGCAAAGGAGGAAGTATGTTGTGTGGGAGTTTCCTCACCTCTTTCAGGAAGTATGAAGAGGGTCAAAGTGTCCTCATACCCTGTGCTTTAGGCGCTCTTAACATTAGATCAGGAGCAGAACAAACTCTCCTTGTAGTGATACTTTGTAAATCTAAAAATAAAATGGGCCTGAAGATCAGAGTGCAGAGCTAAGCCTCTAGTTAGACAGACAGACAGACAGACAGACAGACAGACACACACACACACACACACACACAAAGCCACTTGGTAGACATAGAGAACAGGTAGTGGTGGCCACTTAGGAAACAGACAGATGAATCTCTGTGAGTTCAAGGCCACCCTGGGCTACATTAGAATAACTCAGTCTAAAAGAGAAACAGAGCTCAGCACTTGGGATGACACAGTTTTAATCACAGCAATAGGGAGGTGGAGGCAGGAGTGGTGTGGCTAGGTGGAGAGAGGAACATAAGGCAGGATGGTGGAGACAGATGCAGTCTGAGGACAGGATTGCTCCTTTGGTCTAAGCATTGGTAGAGAGGAGACTCTCTAGTGCCTGGCTGATTCGCTTCTCTGATCCTTAGCTTTAACCCCAATATCTGTCTCTGGGTTTTTATTATTAATACCAATTAGAATTTGTGCTACATCTCTTAGTACCATCAATATGGTTTTTAGGACTCTCTCTTAATTGTGTGGTTGAACATCTTTTAATGTCATCTGGTATTGGTATTATTTTAATTTTATTTTAAAGAGGTTGTTTTTAGTTATGTGTGTATGGATCACATGCATGTATGGTGCTTGAGGAGGCCAGAGGGAGAGCCGCATCCCCTGGAATTGCAGGTACAGAAGGTTGTGAACTGTTCTGCAGGTGCTGGGAACCAAAGCCAGGTCCTTTACAAGAGTAACATATGCTCTTAACCCATGAGCCATCACATTAGTTCAGCCCCCAGTAGTATTATTTTCTTTTTTTTTTAAAGTTAATTTATTATTTTACATGTCAATCCCAGTTCCCTCTCCCTCCCTCCCCCCAGTACTATTATTTTCAACATGAGTTCTAGGGAATCAAACACAGGTTGCTGTGTTCAAGACAAGCACTTGACTTACTGAAGTCTCTCTCCAACTCTGCACTTGGTTTATATTAAGGAATATTGCTCAGTTTGTTTATTATTACGTTGATTAGGATTTTGGCACAGATTTGAATGAGAACATCAATGTTGCATCATTACTGACCAGTGGTACTACTCTGAACCAGTAACTATTATTTTAAACTCTGTCTTCCTGCGTTATGGAAACTTATGTTTGAGCATTCAAGAGAGACAGAGGCAGGAGGATAAAAAGTTTAAAGGCAGTCTTGGCTATATGGTAAGTTAGAGGCCAGCTTTGGCTACATGAAATCTTGTCAATAGGAGAAGGAAAAAAAGAAAAAAGAATATTTGGGGTTGGGAAGATGGATCAGTGGTTAAGAGTACTGGATGCTTTTCCAGAGGACCCATATCCTGGAATCTATATGGGGCTTTTAATGAATCATCTGTAACTCCGTTCCAGGGGAGTTGACACCCTGTTCTGGTCTTGGAGCATTGCAGGCAAATTGTGCACAGACATAGGCAGGCTGAAGGTGCATATATATTAAAATAATGAATTAAAAATATTGAAGCCTGGTGTTGTGGTTGTACTTGCTGAGGCTGTAGGCTTTGGGGGTTCAAGACTACAAAGGAGAGATGCTGTCTTCAAGGTAAAACAAGTTAATTTTATTGTTTTCTTTTGTTGTTACTATGAGTAGGTGTAGAGTTTAGCCAAATGCTTATTTTGTATATCCTAATCGTCAGAATTTGTAATGTGACGCTATTAGTAGCTAGTCTACTTTTCAGCATTTATACACCCCAACAACTAGCAAGGATTGGTCTAATTTCTTAGGTGACTTTATTTTTCCTTTAAAATTACCATTTCATTAAAAATTTTGTATTCATGTATAAATAACAATTTATATATTTTTATAATTTTTCTCTCTTAATAGTTTGGGTGTTATGAGCATGCTAGTCTTTTTTTTTTTTTTTTTTTGTTATTTTTGAGACTTGGTTCCTCTGTGTAGCCCTGGCCATCCTGGAATTCACCCTGTTGATAAGGCTGGCCATAAACTCAGAGATCCACCTGCCTCTGCTGGGATTAAAGGTGTGCACCACCGCAGGCTGTCAAACATGCTAGTTTTAAGGAACTAGCCAGCAGTACAGGATGTGGGATTTTGATCTCACATAGAATATTGGTAAGATTAAAACAGGCTCCAATTAAACAAAACATCATTAATAAAATTCTGACAGTATCTTTAGTGTTGAAAATAATTTCTCCTTCAGCTTGTCTTTATTTTGTATATGTGGATGAATACTTTATACTCAAAAAATTTCTGTTGTGTGTGCATATATGTAAATATGTAAACACACACACAAACACAAATATATATATGCACATTATTCTGTGCATGGCAGACAAGTGATATACCACTCATCAACCCCCTTCTGTATTGTAAATAATTTGAAATAATAGTAAATATACAAGAGTTTCTCAAAACCTACATTTTGTTTTATGCTCTCCAACAGGTGCTCAAAAGTGTGATAACTTTGCTGAGAAAAGACCCCTTCTTGGTGTTTGTAAGAGCATTGGATCTTCAGGGTAAGGATATTTAAATTGAAACCTTGAAACATGTAGAATTTGTTGTGATGTATTTACTTCCTATGCTGTGATACTGAGAGCCAAATGAAGTCGGTCATAAAAGATCACGGTGTAGTCTTGAAAGAAAAGATTATTAGCATTGAGAAAAGTGTTCTTGAGTTCATGCATTTGTAGCACAGTATTATTACTCATTGGTGCTGTGGCTTGTGCCTGAAGCAACTCTAAAGGTAATGCTTCTTTTTCTCTCTATTAGTACTTATAATACTAGGGAAAAGTACCATTTTCCTTCTTGATTTACATATTCAAAGAACAGATTTGTTGACTTCACACAGGGGTCAGTTGAGTGTCACTCATCTTCTGTCGTTTTCATTCTGGTGACTATAAATGATGGGGGCTGTTTTCTGGTGTTTTCCATGTATTAAATATTAATCATACTCTTCCTGGTGACTTATAATTAATTAGTTTATCCATTGTGTGTTTACTGTATTTTAACTATCTGCATAATTCCAGTTAGGAATATGTTTAGTAAAGTCACAGTGCTATACATAGTCATGAGGAAGCCTAGATAGGGTGCAGGGCTAGTGCAGTCTTTCTGTGATGTTTTAGTGCCCTATGTTATCTTAGTTTTGACATTCTTTCACAGTGATTTTCTTTCATAATGATCGAAGATGGCCGCTATGTTCACTTAAACGCTTGGTTGCCAGCAAAGTTGAGAAGCGATTGTTCCTATTTCTTTGTTGGTATGGGAGATGATCTGATGGGTATTACATAGGCAGCTGGTAGCTGCTGGCATGCGCTTTCAACCATGGTATACACTTTAGATTATGGAGCTTTTGAAAAGGAAGATCTTTTAATGACATATATATTTAGATCTTGGAATAATATCCACCACCTAAAATAAAAAAAAATTTATGTATGGGTGTTTTGCTTACATGTGAAGAAGGTGTCAGATCTCCTGGAATGGAACTATAGTAACAGATGGTAGTGAGCCTCCATATGGATACTGGGGACTTGAACCTGGGTCCTGTGGAAGAGCAGCCAGTGCTTTTAAAGAATCACAGAGCCATCTCTCTAGTCCCTACTCCCTTTTGAGACATGTTTTTACTTTTTATTTAGGCTGGCCAAGAACTCAGGGAGCCTATAAAGGCTTCCTGCCATAACCTCCTGGGTATTGGGATTACAGACTTGAGCCATCATACTCAGCCAAATCATGTAGTCTTGTACCAGCTAATGATAGCCAGAGCAATAGCAGAAACAGGACAGATGGACTCCGAGGATGATGAAGGCAATTAAAAAACAAAGCTGCTTTTTTTTTCCTTTGCCCTCCTCTTTGTTGGGCTGGAAGGTGCTGCACACAATTAGAGGGGGTCTGTTAATAACTTGATGAAGAAAATTCTTCACAGTTGTGCTTAGTGGCCTGCCTTTTAGTTGGTTCTAGATCCAGACAAATTGCTAACTGCGATCAACCATTACAAGTCCCCTTGTCAGTTTGATGCACAATCACCTTTCCTTGTGTAATTCTTAATTTCCAAGTGACAACAATAGAAATATCATAATTTTCTAATATGATTTAACTATCCCAGGTACAACTGCAAATGCATTATTTTCCCTCACAGTAGACATGATACCTTGAAGAATTCTTAGTCTTTTAGTATTGAATGCTCAATATGTAGGAATAGGTTTAGAATACTTTCTGACACTGTCTCATTCACTGTTACATGATATGATAAAGAGATAGAGGAAATAAAGCACATGTGTTTAACATATTCTTAACAAACTGGTTTCATGGCCTTAGCTGGCGTTTATATCTGACATCTTCCACTACCTCTTCTGTATTTCCTCCACATCCAGTAGGCTCACAGAGTTGGTTCTTTATGGTGGGGGTGAACCATAATTTCATTCCTGAAGTGCCATTTACCTTGCCTGGTGTGTGTGTGTGTGTTTTGGGGGGGGGGTTTTGACATCAATCACAGGCTACAGTAACACCAAGAGCTTTTCTAAAGGTTCCCCAAGGCTCTAGGCATATTCTTCCCATGTCCAATGAGGATAAGCAGTCCTCTTCCCCCTGGTAGTCTGAATCCACATTCCTTTTTTAGCCCATTGACTGAAGGGTGTCAGGAACCCAAAGTGTCCAGGGAAAATCTTAGCTTTCTTTTGAGTGGAATGTTTTCTGTATCTCCTGGCAGTAGTAACTCTTCATAACCAAATCTCTGTGCTTGCAGGGGTGTAGGCACTACTCCCTCAACCGACCACACCTTGAGAGCCTTACTCAGCTGGGATGAGGCCTTCTCCCATAATCCCTTAGGTGGAGCCTCAGCTCTAGTCTTTGCTGTCCTCTATTACGGCTCATCCCCCAGGCCAAGTGCACTGTTGCCATGTGGCAGGGAGCAGCTGGTTACTAAGGTGTGAATCTCATGTCCTACCCTGTGCCTTCCATTCAGAAAGTGGTCTTTCTATGTCCCTCCCAGGTACTCCCAAATAATGACAGGGATACTTATTTATGAAAGCTTGTCATTAGCTTAAGCTTGTTTTTAACTAGCTCTTATAACTTAAATTAATCCATTTCTTTTCATCTGTGTTCTGTCACATACCACAGATCCTGCTCTCTCCATGTTTCTTCAAGTTTCTCTCACACACACCTAGATTTCTTCCTCCTCCTTTTTCTCTTTGCCCGAAGTCCCGCCTATACTTTCTGCCTAGCTATTGGCTGTTTGGCTTTGTATTGCACTAATCACAGCAATACACCTTCACACAGTGTTCAGGTACCCCACAACAGGATGTAAAGTGTGAACTAGCCCAGCTGGGATGATCTTTTTGCAAGGGGAAACAGATGAGTTCTCCAAGATGGAGGCTGCTTCTCTTGGAGGACAGTCACTTATCACAGTGCAAAAAGCAGGCCCAGTAAGGACAGAGTGCTGCCATTTCCATGGTGGGAGTGGTTCAGTTAGTCACTCTGCCTTCTGGTTTCTGCTGGTCACTCCAGGCATGCTGCGGTCAGACTCACTGCTGGTCTCTGCTGCTGAAAGATCTGATACTGAGCAGCAACCACAGTGGGGTCAGCCGAGGTGAGTGGATATCCGTGTTGTTGAGCCCATGTTGAGCCCTAAGAATCATGGTCTTCTTGGGCTGTGGCAAGGATGGCTGGGGAAGAGTCTAATTGCCCTCTGGAAGGGTTATCCTGTCTTCTTGATTGTTGCTGAGAATTATATAGAACACAGATCATCGTTTGCCCATTTGTAGAGGTCTATCTACATGTATCTTCCCCAGTTACTGTCCTCCATGTTTGGATCGTCCATGTCCCTGACCATCCAGCCACACCATGCAAAATACCCCACCATGTGCACTGCCCAGACTTCTTCCCACTGAAGATTTTCTTTCACCAGTAAGCCTTTTGGGGATGTCTCAGAAAGTGGCTGTAAATGCTTCAGGTTGATGCTTGGAGAGCATTCAGGGTGGTCTGTAAACCAGGCCCTGGGCTTCTTCATCCTCACTCAGCCATCCATAGGGCACACCTCATGAGGCCAGCGATTTGTGCATGCTTGGCGACATTGTGACAGGAATGGGAGCCGTAGGCTGTAACTACAGCAGCAGCAGGGTAGATAGCCAGGCTGGGGAGGGCAGTGGCACTCAGGCAGCGACAAAACCGCTCTCTCTCCTTCTTTGACTTCCTTTATTTGGGCTGCCAGTGGAAGGCGCCACCTACATTTTGGGTGGGTCTTCCCACTTCAAATAACCTGATTAATTAAATCTCTCACAGGTGTGCCTGGCAGCTTGCCTTTTATTTGATCCTGTCAAGTTGAGAGGCATTACATTTCTTGAAGTGTGAACTTCTTTTTGTTGTTGCCATTAAAAAATTGGCTTTGGGGAGTTGGCTTAGTATGTTTGCATTATGCCAGGTCCAGAAGGATTCAAAAGCGTGAAAACCCAACCCCTTTGTCCAAAGACATAAGGGTGTTATGTAAAATGCAGAGCACAGTGCGTGCTTACAACCGGGATTTTGACATGTAGAAGAACTGAGAAGAAGAGGGAGGAGTGGGTGAACGTGGGTTAATGACCGAGGCCTCCAGAAAGGAGCAACAGAGGCTGCACCTTTTGAGTAAGAGTGTGCAGGAGATGCAGAGGGTCATGGCACTGCAGGTAGACATAGCTGTGTAGATGGATTAAAAATGATAGGCATGTGAGCTAAGAGTACAGCATCTGCAGAGCAGGTGAAAATAGCTGTTGCCGGGCAAGTTAACAGAGACATCAGTCTGAGCTGTGTTCTGGCTTGAGCAGCTGCCAAACTTTGTATAACAGTGGGATTGTGAGGGATTCATGTCTGCAGTCTCTCCTGTCCCAGTCCCAGTCTTTCCCCAGGTACCTCTTCCAGCTGGAAGACACTCAGCTTGAAGTGTCAGATGTTGCCTGAGCCCAGAAACATTGCTGATGAAAGTTCCTGACTGTTGGGCCTGTGCTTACCCACAGCCCATGACCGTGCAGTTTAAGGCTGCAGTAGTGGAGGCTTTGTGGATGTGTGGAAGAGGCAAATGAGGGTGTAGGGCTAAGAACAATGCAAGAGAGCAGAAAAAACATGAATGTGAAGGTGCTTTGGCAAAGTGCAGTCTTGACTGACTCATGAATTTTTGAGTAAACCCTCCATTGACTCCTAGTTACTTAGACACAGAGACAAGTGATAGCCAGGCCTTAATATATAGCAAGGATAACATGGCTGAGTGTTTCAAGATGTTAAATCTTTCTTTCTTTCTTTCTTTCTTTTTTTTTTTTTTGGAGTCAAAGCATTTTTTTTAATTTATTATTTTACATGTCGATCCCAGTTCCCTCTCCCTCCCAACTTCCCTCACTCCCTCCCTTCCTCCCTCTTTCCCTCCCTTTTACCCTCTCTGCCCTCTCACATGCACTCTAACCACCCTCCCCTCCCATCCCCGCCACCCCAATTCCATATGTAGGGGAATGTCATCCAGTAGGGATCATGTAGGTCTGACAGGTCATGTGAAGTAGGG